TCCGATATAGGTTTCGTGCAGGAGAAGGCATACATGGAATGGTTCTAGGATGCATTTAGCGCTGTAGCTACCGATGACAGCAAAGAATGTTTCCCCTTGCCCTGAACTGTACATGTTCAACATTAAGTACTAAATAGAAAGTATGGCGCCGTCGTTGTCAAACGGAGATGGAGACGTTCTATGTATGTCCGTAACGCTTGCTTGGTTATTACATGGTAACGGTGAAGCAGGTGTTGTATGTCATATACATACAATACCTCCTTCACTGTTACCATCTGATGGCCCAGCAAGCGGTGTGTAATTTCGAATCGTAATTCAACGTGGTGCGTGCGGAAGAGGCATACATGGAATGGTCCTGGGGTGTAGGTACGCTGTAAATGCCAACAACAGCGACAATGTTGCCACTACCTTGTACATCTCCAACATCTTGTATCAAATTGGAGGTGTGGCTTCGTCGCAGCTAAGGAAATGGATGACCTTTCATGTGTACCCCTTCCGGCCGTGTCTTTTGTTGTTAGGAAATCTACTCTACGAAGCTTTGTAGAGCAGATTTGCTAACAACAAAAGACACGAACGGAAGGGGTACAGACGGAATGGTTATTGAGGGCGTGTCTATGTGTAGCTACCGAGAATCTAGAAACGATACACATGCAGATACGATTTAGGTGCGCGCCATGGGATTATGTGATCAAATACAGCGATACTATGCATTTAGTCCAGAAAACAACCTACACGCTATGCTACCTACATCCAAGATTTTCCTTTGCACCCACCCATGCCGCTCTCCCTTCCCCTCTCCCCCGTACATACACATCATCCCCAGCCAAATCCCATTCCCATCCCCAATCCCAATCCCAAGAGTAAGAATACCAAACAGCAAACTGGGGTATATAGCAGATCCAACCTCCCAACCTTTCCCAACCTAACCATTCCATATACGCCCAATATACACAAACGTTAAATGAGAACATCAACAACAACCCACCCGAAGATTTTACCTATCCGCTTGAAACGAAACGAAACTGTTCCTCCTCTTACAATACAGCCTCAAGAATGCGATCTTTGAGGGTCTTGACCTCCTCTTCCCTTTCCCATAACCGTCGTTGCATGTCTAGGAACTTGGCTTTCCAGGCCGCGGGCGTCATCTGACTTCCCCCCGCACCCTCCCGATCTAATGCCGCATCGCCATCTCCTCTTCGTTCTCCACTTCCGTCTTCGCTGTTCTCACTTCGTATTTCCAGGCCTTTGGCAACCCATTCTCCGGTCAACCCGCCAAAGTTCACAGCGAAGAAGACGTCAAAGGTTTCCTTAATACGACTACCTGAGTTGCCAGGATGCGACCGTAGGTTATCTCCGGTGGTATCGCCATCGTCTTCGTCGTCGTCGATGGGGCTTTCATAGCCATCACCTCCAATGCGGAAGCGTATGCATTCGACGCGACGGACGCCGCCGGTAGGGCCGCCGATGCCAATGCCGACTGCGCTTGTGAGACCCAGACAACTGCTGATTGCTATGCCGAGGCTTTGGTCGGACATGACTTTCGCGGGGGAAGAAGGTAGTCCGGACGTTGGCTTTGAGTAGAGTGGTTGGAGGATCGCTGTAGCCAGGGTCTTTGCTTCGTTGCCTCTTAAGCGCTTCCGACGGCCGGTAAGCGGGGCACGGATGAGCTCGGCGGCTAGGGCGCGGTTGAGTGTTTCGAGAGGGATTGATGGGAGAGACGGGGAGGAAGTTGAGAGGTCTGGTGAAGTCTGCGAGCGGATTGGGGGTGGTGGTCGGTGTTGGGCGGGTGTTTCAGAGGGGGTAAGCGCGCCGTGGTAGGTCTGATGTGTTGGCCTGTTGTCTTGTTTTTGGTACATGCTTTGTTGCTCGTAGCCATGTGCGGGCGACACCTGCGTTGAAGCGGCGCTTATTGGGGAAGGCCCTAGGCCTGTGCCTGGGGAGTCATTTTGTTCTCCGTTGACGAGTACCGTTGGTGTGACTAATCGCACTACTGGGTTGCCGACATTTGGAGGGACCTGGAGACTCAGTCGCTGTTTCTGTGGCGCACCACCCATGAGCTGGCCCTCCATCTTGGAAGGCGATATGGCAGACGCTGGCGTTGGCGGAAAGCGGAAGGAGTTCTCGGGTGCTGGAGGGTCAGAGTGCGCCCGCTCAACTATCGGTGTCAGATTGCCTGGGGTACGGTCGATGGGTGGTCCTTCTTTGGTTTTCGGATTGGCTGGAAACGTATTGTACGGTCCATCTCGAAATGATCGATTGCTCGGCGGCCGGCCACGAAGCTTGCCGGTAGACGAGGTGTTGTTGGTCGACCATGCCGACGATACAGCAGGGCCGTGACGCCGGCGAGACCGTGATCTCGCACTGGAAGGCGTGACAGCAGACTGGGGCTCATCGAAGAAGGGGTATGCGGATTGTGGTGTTACCGCGGAAAGTGGATGAGGGGTTTGAGGCGTGTCATGAGGATTCAGTCGCCATCGTATGTGTTGTCCAGACATTGGCGAATCGGTATATGGTGTCAAGCTTTGGCCTAAACGACTTGGTGCTGAAGCTGCTGTTAAAGCCGAAGAGGGTGTGACGGTTGAGACTGCAGTCCACGCTTCTTGAGGTGTGAGGAAGCCTCCGTGCATGTTGTGAGGATGGGCGCTAGTGGGGTACGCTGATTGGGGCTGCAGCACGTTGCCAAACGGTATTGACGTATCCAACTGCGGGCGCTTACGAGCCGGTGTGCCTTCGTCAAAGTCGATGTCGTCCTCTCCGTCATCAGCTTTCCGCCGCCCGCGCTTCGGTTTGAACTTGGGATCGAGAGCGCGGATAGCCAGATCTTCCTCCAGAGGTACGCCATCCCGCCCGTCAGCCGGAAAGGGGTTGTGAGGAGGAGGTATTTGCAGGAAGTAGGGGTGCTGCTTGCCCAGCAGATACTCGAAAAAGGCGTCGATGTGCATGGCGCGCATCCATCGCTGTGATGGTTAGCAAAGCCGGAATGATGTATGAAACGACAAGTGATTGGGGGCCAGGTCGGAATGCGCTGCCCCTCTGACCTGCAGAGGCCCCATCTTTGACCAAGTCGTGAGGAACAGTACATCTCAGATATCTCACATAGTGAGTGGCTCGGTTCGCACACTGCGCCGGATACCAAGTAGGTGGTTCGGATCACAATGAGGCGTTTGAGGCTGAAGTCGACTGCGCCGCACGACCCGGATGACATGCATAAGACGTTGTTGGAGCCCACTGGGCCAGAACTCGGAAAATGTGTAGAAAATGACTCGGCGATTGCCGGATATAAGAGTGCGAGTGAATTGAAGGGCTCTTACCTTTAGTCTGACTGAGTACTGCTGCACCTTCTGCGTGCTCTGTCCCTCGTCTGTGTTCGGCGGCTTGACGCCCAGATCCAGCGCCAGTTGTGTCCATGTCTTGATTTCTTTGGCGTCCAGCTTGCGTATCAGCTCGAAGAGGGTCCATGTGTTGAATGCGTTGCCGTCGCTCTTGGGCGGCGTCCGGAACAGCTTGACTAGTTCGCTGGTGTCGATGGTGGTGGGGAAGTTGGGGTTGCAGTAGAGGATAAAGGTCGCGTAGGCGTCGTCGATGGTGTCGTCGGCTACATTGCGCGAGGGCGTGTCGCGGTCGGCGGGCTCGTAGTGGGCAGATGCCTGGCGCGGCTGGCTGGTGGGCGATATGGCCGCGAAGCGCGGCGAGGCATGCGCAGACGCCGGGGGAGTCTGCGAGCTGCGCATGTCGGCGTAGAAGCCGTGGGCGAGGTTATGGGCATTGTCTGGCTGAAGTAGGTGACTGGACTGGGCCTGATGGGGGACCGCCGCCATGGGCGTGTGCACATTGCGGCTGGCACCTGTGCTCTGCCCCAGTGCCGGATCAATTGCTGCTACACCACCGCCGCCTGGATGCCGGAAGGGCGAGTAGGCCGGCCCGCTGCCAGGCCCCGCGTGTTCGTAGTGCTGGTGGGCGTTGGCTGTCAGGTGCAGGCTGTGCTCCGTCTCTCCCTCGTCGCCAAAGTCGACCTGCATGGTTCTCCACAGTGTAACGCGCTCTGCTGCTTCCTCGGCCCGTCAGCATGCCATGAGGGCGTCGAGATGATTCGCGGCCGCGCTAATGCCAATAGCAGGCCATGGATATAGAGTCAGTCCCGAGGTTTACTTCTTCTGGCCCCAAGGGGAGTCCTCAGCAGCGCCTACTGTCGCAGCGGAGCCGGCGAGTGCAGCGCGAAGAGGTCCAACGATAGGATGCGATGCGCCCAGCGCCGTCGCTCTGTCAGGGCAGTCGCGAGAGGGCGATTACGTCGTTTGCCGTGGCAGCGCGCTATGGAGTCGCGTCGTCGAGGGTCCAGCGGGTGGTAATTTGCGGTCGTTCAGGTGCTATGGCGGGTCGTGCCTGCCTGCTTCGGGGCATTTTGGTCAGTTATGCCAGCTGAGCGGTACCCCAGCATCGTCCGTCTATTTTTGGATCAGCCGACGCACCACTGCTCACCACACCCATGTCGCTGCACCATCCGAACCCCTACCACCGCTGCTCTGCACCCTGACTGGCTGCCTATTTACGCTCTACACTGAATATGCGACAATGCCTATCGAGTGGCAACCATCCCAAGCCCTTTTGGTCGTACCTACCATTGTAACTGACGTACGCCGGCCGAACCTCGCTCTTGGAATATTGCCACTACACCGACTACGACCTTTCTGGGGCGAGTACTCGTGTCGCGCCGCATGGAGTTTAAGACGGTATCATGTTGCGAACAAGAGGCAAGCCTGCGTCGTCGTCGAATGTGGCGCATACCTCTTGGGTCGAGTGATGCAGTCAGGTTTCTTCGACTCAGTGAATTGAATGCAGCAAGCACGTCTGTGAAACCAGTACTATGACTGTCTTAGCGGCGACTCCTATTCACTGCGCGTCGACACCGCTGGCCACGCTTATCAAGTCCCTTCAGTCTCACTATCAACTTCCACCCACACGAGATAGTCTCGACTCAACTCCATGCAGCTTCCGCCAAGATGAGTATCTCCGCCCTTCCAACAGAGCTGCTCAGCATGATCTTCGATGAGATCCGGAGAAAAGAGGATATGCAAGCCGTTTCTCTCGTTTGCCACAAATGGCGCGTTAATCTTGCGCCGCTGATGTGGTACACGTTGAACACTGATCTGCTGCTTAGCAAATTTCAGTCCATGAAAGCACTTGTCAATTCACAGAGCATAATACTCCCTCATATCCGACGGATTATCATAGCAACACCCCGACGAGTCGCGAGCGATTCGTTTGAAATGGACCAAATCGAGCACAAATTACGTCTACTGTTAACGTCCCTTCCTCGCGACCGAATCACGCACTTCATGGCCAGCACGTTGAGACCGAGCCGTCATACTATCCACATGCTTCTCAAATCCCAGCGGAAGCTCGAAGAATTGAACTTCCGCATCAGGTCCGACGAGGCCTTCACGGGCAAGGGGCCACTTCCTCTCCACACAGGTGGTCCTTTGATGGAGCCTCCACTGAAAGACCTCACTGGACTAGCTGTATATGTTCATTGCCATCCGAAGATGGCGAAAAACTCTTTTGAGTACTACCGCAAACTTCTCAGATACGTTCCCAAGCTGCAGACCCTATCCATAGTGGGCACGCTCTTTGACAATCGTCCACTCGACCGGCTGGATATGCATCACATCCTACAGCATGACATAAAGCAGCCCATCCTAACAAGTCTCACCAACCTCCGTCTGAAGCTTATCGACTTTGGAATGAGTCACAAGGCGATTTTCAGTAACATCAACTTTGCGAACCTTCGCACGTTGTCACTAATTGGCTGCAATGACATGGCCACCTTCTTGGGCGGCCTCCTGGTACAACGCGCCAACAGTGACGGCAGTTATCTTTCCCATCTTTCCGACCTGGAGATCTTCTTGCCTTCTAATTCACCCCATCCCGACAACGACATTCAGGCTGTCCAACACTTCCTCGAGACTGGTCCGAAGCTTGAGAAACTCATCGTGGACGTATCGTGCCACGCCTTGATAAAGAACGACGCTATCATCGCCCGGTCTAATAAGCTGACTTCACTGCAACTGGGTACGGGTGAGGACACAGTAGGGCGTTCATATGCAGTGAAAGACGTCAAAGCGATCTTAGATGCCTCCCCAAAGCTCGCAAATATCGCCATAAACCTCCCAGCAGTGAGCCTAGGATCCCTTATCGATCTAGTTCACGACTTCAAGTTGGGAAGACCACAAAACTGTCTCACATATATAGACACTGAGTTCGAAGCAGTGCTCGTAAGTCCTAAAACCTACTTACTCCCCACGACTAGACCACCAGCTAACAACAACCCATCCAGATCGTACTCGCCCAACACGCCCCACTTCACACCCTCCGCATATTGAACCTTCCAACTTTCGGAGAGATCGAAATAACGCACAATCCCAACTCGCTCAACGCTACCGAACACCGATTAGCCCGCGTCTTGTACCAGAATTTCGCAACGGAGATAATGCGCTTCATGGCGAAATGCGGTACCGCCCCCATCTTTTTCGACACTCGGCCTAGTATTACGTACCAGATTTTCGATGAGTGTCTATGGCCTGCATATCTGTTTAATAAAGGGTATGTTTGTGATGCGAGAGGAAAGAGGGAGGTGATGGCGGTGCCCCTGGACAGATATCCGCAGGATGATAAAGAGTCACTCGTGATGCGTATGGCGGGGTCGAGTATCTGATGGATTAATATGGTGAACGGTGGATATTGGGGACGATGAACACGCGTTTAATATGGGAGCTGAGTATGTAGGTAGCTGAGGGTATTGCGGAAGGAGCGAGCAAACCTTTGGATGTTCAGCGACACCAAGTTGCCGCCGCTTCACGTAACAGCATTCGACGCACATATACGCATGATCCAACACAGCCATCCTGATTTCGCGATGCTACTCACATTAAACTCTATAAGTTGTGCATTCAATGATGTCGCTCTTGCCTTGCATCGTGCTAGAGCCTTGGCGCTTTGACCTCACTACCTAGGTACCTGGTCCACCCGACGACACGCTTTCGACCTCAATTCTACTTTGCTCTTCCATCTCATCATCTCGTAGTAATTGGTTGTCAATGTTTTCGCTTTCGTAAGTTCCGGGCATTGCCGCTCTGCAAGCCAGAAAGCGCTGACACATCTGCTAGATCCGGCAAAAGAATGATCAAGGCAATGTATGTCTCGTCAGCCGCTCATGGCGGGAGCTTATGGCCCCTATCTTGTGGGAAGAGCTTGAATTCAGCTTGGGTGATCACCAAGGCTCTTCCCCTGGCCGCTCTTTGACGACGCTACTGGCAGCAAACTCTGGGATCCTCCCACATGTACGGAATCTATGCTTTGCGGACTTTACGGATGAGGATTCGGATAACCGTCTCGAGTCGTTGATCTTGGCACTTCCACGCGATAAACTCCGCATTTTCCAGGCCTATGGCGACATGCAGCATGAGGTTTTCTTGCAATTGTGGCGATCGCAGACCAAGCTAGAGAGAATCTATGCAACGACTCCATTTACCTGCCTTGGCTCGACGAGTGACTATCATTATGCTTCCCGGGAATACCGCGCGTGGGTTGCATCGCTGACGCCTGAACTGAAGGAGATTAGTCTTCTTCTATAGCGCGAAGAGGAACAGGAGGAAGAAGAGGTCGAGAACAACCACCGGAATCTGCAGAGCTTTATCGACCTCTACCCTAGTCTCGAAAGGCTGAACTTGTCAGCCGACTGTGAACCTCCGATCTCATTACAAGGACTGCTCTCGCTATCGCCGGAGAATCGCCTATTCTCCAATCTGACGTCTATCAAGATGGAAGAAATAGACTTGGTACCGTATGCTTCATCTCATTTCTCCCACACCTTCGACGTTGCAAGGTTAGAGAGGTTGGATCTTTTGCTCTGCAGCTCGATGTCGCCGTTTTTCGAGAGTCTCTCAAAATCGTACATTGAGACACCTGGTAATTTAAGGGAGTTGTGCATCCGCCTAGATAACGGTGTTGAAGACGAAGTGCAGGTCGAGACCACAAAATCCATTGAAAACTTCCTCAAAGTCTGCTGCGCTAGACTTGAGAATCTCGAACTACAACTCTCCAACGGCAAACTTGTCGACAAAAGTTGTATCCTGCCTCACGCTGAGACGCTTCGTAACGTCGTCATCGGAAAATCTCGAAACAGTATCATGGATTCTCAGTCGCACTACTACTCGGGAGACGAATTAGGGATAATTTTGAGGGCGTGCACAAAGCTCAGAGGACTGGCCATCAATCTGCCACCTATCGATCTCGGATATATCACACAGCTCGGGGACGGATTACAATTCAACGCAAGTGAGCAGGATTGTGTTGCTTTCAAAGATATACTAGTAAGCAATGTCCTTTTTGTATTGGTATCTTTATTGATTGGCATCGTAGGCACAATGTGCCGCAAATCCCAATCTTCATACCATAGAAATACTTAGCGAGCCTGATATCACATTTGATTATGATCTGGAAACATTTGAAGAGACACCTTTGATGGAGAATCGCAGCTTCGGTGCGTCGTGCGAGGCTGCCATGAAACACTTCGGCGATCAGATCTTCAGTCACATCTCGCAGTGTGGTACAGTCCCGAGACTCCTCCTAGTCAAATCCTTTGACACTCGGGATTTTGAAGAAGGTATGCCGATGGCAGATCGTTATTTCTGCCCTTGGTATATCCACACGCGCGGAAATGTTCGAGATAGTTCGGGCAGCAATCTAGTAGGTGCAGCGCGCGTTAAGATGGAGAAGATATCGAGGAACTACACTGGCGACTTCATCCTCAGGCGCTTCTCTAGCTAATGTCTATCATGAGCTTATAAGCTGTATTGTATCTCGTAGTATGCAAATCAAGAGGGTAAAGTATGCTTCAGCGTGTAACACATCGGAGTAACAAAACCTAGTATGCGTTCTATTGTAGGCCTAGTAGAGGACCTTGTTCACGCCTACAAGTCTTGGCAGTATGCAAGAGCTGTGCGTTTTCCCCACTTTTCTCGCGACACACCTTTCTTACTTCTCATCGAGGCTGCTACTACCTCAACTGCTTCTGCATCTGCTCCCGACGAACTCCACGTCCAGCCATGACGCATAGAAACCTCTCTGATCTACCGCCCGAATTCGTTGCATTTCAAAAGGGATTCTGCATATCAGGAATGTGCTGGCAAGAACATGCAGGTGCGACAGAAGACCGATCAAGGCGTAGTGAGCTTCGTCAACCGTGCATGTCGCATCGCAAGGCAGATCTCGGAACCACACAAACACGTTCCAACGAGCTATACTCTTTCTTCTGATAAGCCGGAACGTTATCTACCATATGATGAGCCAGCTGTACAGCCGCAGTTGCGTCGCATCATGCAGGGGTTCCAGTCGTCTTTTTCGGCGAAAATGTTGAATGCCAAAGGCGAATCAGCGGTGGTGGCTCGTTCTGTAAGGTAATCGAAGACTTCGCGTTCGTTGGGGTCCGTCACAACTCCCGATGTCGCCCTGTGTTGTGTTGAGCACAGCTGGGTCTCCGGATGAAGTGTGTAGACAATCTTGGCTTGCACAGTCCTACCACCCCTCCATTTCAACGCGAGATATCTAGTGAACGTGAGTATCGTCTAGCGCTTCTGTCGCCGCCTGTACGGCATCTTCGTCCTCTTCATCGCTATACACATTGAGCGCCGCTTGAAAAGCCTCTCGGTCCCAGTCCCGTCCTTGCCCGTCTCCCGGCCACCCAGCTCTTCTCATCTTGCGCACGAGCGACTTGAACTCGTCGTCCGCGTCATCAAGCTCCCAGTACATCGGTACCGCCTCGATGATATCCGTCTGGAGACCGATCCAGCGCAGCTCGCGGAATCGTTGTTTGCAGAGCGCAAAAAACTCGCGTGGGCGATATACGTTGAAGCCCTGCCGCCAACGCTCGGTTTCGTTTTCGGCGTAGCGTTCTTGCACCACGGCATTGAGCTCTGGCGCTGGCTGGTCGGGCAGGCCGCAAGGCTCCCCCCAGTAGACGTATCCATCAGCCGTGTCAACGACGAGATTGTAGCCATTACGCCCGTTGCTGTTACCGAAAGAGATGCATGACGGCGGTAACGGATCGCCTATAGGTTCAACGTAGTATTCGAGATCGCCGTCGCGGATCCTTTTCTGCATCGCCTCGCTGCGGTAATCCTGAATTCGTGTATTCTTCATGATGACGTGCTTGCCGTAGGCTTTGTCTGGCTCAACAAAGTCTACAAAAGGCATGTGGCGAAGCAAGTCGATGACTGCATCCGTTCTGTTCAGGTTGGCCATGGTGGATTGTGTGATTGATGGCCAGCCGTTTTTGGGCGCAGAGACTACGACTGAGTCATCCCAGAACACTCGATTGCAAAATTCGTAGTAGTCTGTCAGAAGTGTGATGAACTCGACTTGATCAAACGGCATGGTAGCACGTCAACGTTGGAACTAAAGAAGAAACTCAACACCCTGGAGCCTACGTGGAGGGTAGGCCACCTATTTTGCAAGTTTCTTGCTCAACGTAGTCTGCAAACTGATTTAATTGTTTTCTGGTATAAGGCAGTAGGAGGAAGTGGAAAAGAACACTATTCCGACATGGTGGGGTGTGGGCAGGGTGGATTACCTATGCTGACGGTTAAACAGGGCCTTCAAACGTCATCACGCGCCGACGCCGACGCCGCCATACCCTGTCACGTGCCTGTTTGTGAGCAATCTTCAAGAAAACGATGCGCCCGACGAACTTCCATTCATCCAAAGCGCAATATATATGTACGCGTATCTTTACGTAACAGATGCGACGAAGACTGTGCAAGTGCACGTTCGGTACAGATTCGTCGAATACTCGGCGCTCTTGAACCAGATCCTCACCCCAGCGACACCACAATGCATCGAACATCCTGACACGGAAGGCGGTGTCAGCCTGATGACTGCACTCGTAGATGAGACTCATTCTCATGTCCGCAAAGTCTCCGGGTTCTGAGTTGGACTGGAGGCCCTCAAAGTATCGCCCTCCGGCCTCACTGTCATATTCTTCGGCCTCGCTGTCTTCTGTTGGACATGCACCCTCTTCCTCTTTCCCGTTCTCGCCCTCTTTGCCTTCTTCGCTTTCGCCGGCCTCGATGTTCTTGACAGTCAAGACTTCATCGCTTCATACAACTTCTGGTTCTTTCTCTTCGTAGAAGTTAAAGTTGTCTCCTGGTTCACAGCCTATAATTAGAGTGTAGGCATCTCTGTCTTCGTAGTCGTCGTCGTATGGGGGAAGTCCAAATCGCATACGCTTGATGAACTCCAGGGCAGGTAGCCGTGTCGCCTGTTGTCGTTTCGGCGCCATGCTACTGACGTGAGCAGGAGTGGATATGGTAAAGTAGAGAGTGAGTCTTGAGAGAATGTTGAGGTTCCATAAAAGGTGAGATATGCGGCTGGAAGGTGCGACGGGGCCGCTGCTCGCGAAGAATGTCTTGACAATATGTTAGAGAAGGCACGAGCAGGCAAAACAAGAAACATTATGCAAAGCTGGATTGAACTCGCTTACATCATCAGAGAATCTCCAGTACTGCTTGGGTGCGCCGGGAAGCATGCGCTCTCCTCACTGCCCTCTTGACCATCCTCCAAGCCACGCAGCCCGCCACTCATGACCTGATCATGTTCGTCGCTTGAGATCTTAGAGCTTTCAGTATCGCTGTTGATCTTGAGACAGATCTCTCGTGTCAATTCACAGGGAAGTTGCGCACACTAACATCTACTAGGTAGGGTATCAATGAAGGAAGTCGTCGCTTTCAAGTCGGACGTTACCTAGGAACGCTAGGACGGACACTGCACCATATCTCGTCATTGGTGTGTCTAGAGCCCGACCCATACCTCCAGGCTACAGTGCAAGGTAGGGATAGAATACGGCTGAGTAGAAATGCGCTCCTGCTTGTGCACGTCTGCAGTGATAGACCCTGATCGCGCCCACAAGTCTTGGCGGTGCATAGGCAAGCACCGCACGAGCCACGCGCCCTCAGCTCCACTCAATCTCTAGTCAATTTGCTCCTTCTCTTATTTACAATTGCGCAACCGCTCGAATGGCTCTCAAATCTCCACACACACTCAACATGGCGCGTGCAACTTTTGCCAAATTGCCGCCCGAAATGGTGGGTAACGTGTTCGCTTTCGTGAGTGGTAGCAGCTTTTACATGTATGGAGAGCACTAACAGCCCAAGCAGATTCGATCGAAGTCTGACCAGAGTACCATCTGTCTTGTCAGCCGCGCTTGCAGAGACGTGATGGTATCCAAAATGTGGGAAGTTCTTGAGATTAAGTTAAGCACCGCTTCTCCGAGTTCTCTGGCAACGCTAGTACATCCTCGCTCAGGAATTACAAAGCACATTCGAGAGATTAAAGTACTTGATTCAGGAGTACCTTACTTCGACGCATCATCTGAGATAGAAGATCGCCTGAAGTCATTGATATTAGCGATTCCACAGGATCGACTTCGGGCTCTCACGTGCTACGTCCATCTCAGTACACCCACGGTACAACTCCTCTTGCAGTCTCAACAGAAGATTGAGACACTGGAGGTCTCTACTCCCTTCACCATCTCCGGGCTGCCGGGGCTGCCTGATTCCGCCTCCGAAGAACACTATGCATGGTCGACTTCCTCGTTATCCCATGTAACGGAAATGTTGCTTTACATCGACCCAAACAGCGTACCAGAAGAGCGCATCTTCGAGGGCATACACTCCCTCTCTAAAAACCATTCAAAGATACGGGATCTCCTCCTCTTTTCACTTGCCTCGACAAAGACTGATGTGATCTCTTTTTGCAGGATACTTCGTCATGCAAAGGAGCTTCCACTCTTCTCAAACCTTACAAGCCTACGACTTTTCAACCTAAAGCTTGCGAAAAGAGGAGAACCAGCAATCTCGAACAGTCTTGATCTCCACAAGCTGTCTTGTCTACAGTTGCAAGGGTGCGACGACATCGTACCCTTCATGGAGTCACTGTCCTCATACTATGCTCGCGGCATTGGCGAACTGACATGGCTCTATATCATTCTTCCCGACCAGATCAAAGATCCACAGAATTCAGTCAAAGCCATAGAAGCACTGCTCAAGGTTTGCTCTAAACTCATAGAGCTTCAGCTGGAGCTCTCTGGACATGGCTTCGTTGCCAAAGACTGCATTTTGGCACATTGTCAGAAGCTTCAGTGTCTCTCGATAGGTACCGGGGGATCGCAAAGCCGTTATTTTTCTGTCATGGAGATGACGGCTATATTGAGGGCTTGCATTCATCTAAAATACTTGGCGGTCAACATGCCAGCTGTGGATCTGGGGTCTATCACACAGCTCGGGACTGGCTTCTACCCAGAAGGAGAATTCGCGGATATGCTGGTAAATGTGGTGCCGCATCATACGGTTCTTGTTCACTAACAAAATGCCAGGCTGCAATCTCCATAAACCCTACACTCCACGCGTTCCGTATCCTCAATCTCCCCATGGTCAATCTTAACGAAGACGGCGCAACGGTACCTGGAAAGACACAAGTCTACTTCTGCCAGATACTCATGCAAAACTTTGCCAATAAGATCTTCCGCTTCATGGCAAACCGAGGATCGAATCTACGAGTTCTCGCCATCAGGCCTAGCTCAAAAGATGTTCGAGATGCTGGGAAGGACTTGGGCATTGACGCTAATGGCCACCAATGGCCCGATTATCACTACGCTCGAGGTCGGCTCACGGAAGTCACGGGCATGAATGGAGTGGTTGCGCATCCTCTGAGGAACGTTCTACAGGACTTTCCTGATTTGGTGTCGTTGTTTAATTGAGACTGAGAAGACAAATACTAGAGTGGGTAAACCAGGGCGCGAGAAGTTCGCAGCCAGGAAACATACAGCATCATCGCGCCCCAATCACAAGTCTTCAATCTCTCAATAAACACTTTTGACCCAAACCAGCTCCACCTCTCACACTCCAAACCCATCAAGCGGCGACTCCGTACTCTCAATCACAGCCGGATACACAACACCCCCCTGCCTCCTAACCTGATCCATAACCCGCATAACCACCTCCGTCTCCTCCAACCCACAAATCTCGCTCTCCAGCTTCCCATCCCGGATGCATCTCGCACACTCATCCGCCTCCCAGAACATTCCATGTCCTCCCCCAGGAATTTCCTTGAACTTATCAACAACCTGATACTCAAAGTCCGCCAGTTTCCCTCGTTTCTCATTAGCAGCGGGCGTCAATGTATACGTCCTTGGTCTCGGCGCGTAGTCGACGGTCAAATCGCCCAAAGTACCTTGTATCCTCACCGCGTCACCCCCAGGATTTGGAAATTCCGCATTCGGCGTCGTAGCAACAATAATACTCGTACCCGCCACGCCCTGCGCCCCCGTCCCCGGAAAACACAACAGCACAGTCGTCGTCTCATCAACGCCCGTCTCATACTTACTCACTGCCGACGATACAACCGGTTCTTGGCGCTTGTCGGCTGGTTGACAGTGATACAACGCCATAACCACCCACGTTAGGCTATAAATCCCCAAATCCAACAACGCGCCGCCCGCGAGATCCGGATTCACCATTCTATGCTCAGTGCCAAACTCCTTTTCCACATCATTCCAGAAACTGAAATCAGCGAAGACGCGCTTTATATCGCCCAACTTCCCTTCTTTAACAATGGAGCAGACTTCCCGTGACAAGGGGAAGAAACGCGTCCACACCGCTTCCATCATAAACCTGCCCTTCTCCCTCGCCAATTTCCTCAACTCCTGGCATTGCGCCGCGTTCACAGTAATAGGTTTCTCAATCAACAGATGTTTTCCGGCGTTGAGACAGAGGCGGGCGTGGTGGTAGTGGTGGGAATGGGGCGTGGCGATGTAGATGATGTCGATGTCTGGGTCTGAGACGAGTTCGGTGTAGGAGCCGTAGGCGCGTGCTGTGGGGGATGCGCCGACGGAGGTGAGGAACGAGGTGGCGCGGGATAAGGATGTGGAGGAGGCGGCTGCGGTGACGACGTGGCGGATGGAGGTTACGGAGCGGGTTTGGGGGGGGATGAGGAGGTCTTTTGTGAATGCTGGGGGGTGTTAGGATGGGTGGGTTGAGGAAGATGAGGGTGTTATACTTGTTGCTATGCCTCCCGTTGCTATAGTCAATTAGCCTTCTCTCATCTATATTTGGACACAATTGTGCTTACCCAAGATACCCCACCTCAGCGTGAACGGCTCCGAGCTCATCGTGACGAATGTGTTTATATCGATGTCGAGATGCAAGCAAGGGACGAAGTTGAATCGGTAGGCACCCTAGTTGTATTTCTACTTAGATCACTATATACACAGCCCGATCCTACATGTCTTTTGCGCCCTAGGGCACATTCATGCTGCAGGTACATATTTGAGATGCAATGGTAGGGCGTTGACAACCTCTCGATTAGAGTACCCCGCAGCGGGCGGTTGCATGCCAGAGGGCCTGATGACGCGAAAAGCGGAGAGACGGGATGCTATCCGCCTTGTCCTTCCATATCATCGCTCATCAAACTGTTGATATACGCTTCCCTCTCAAATCGATCAAAATGATGCGTAGAATTCTGGGTATATACATTTTGAAGCCTCGTGGTCCCTCCACGTACCGTGATAACAATGCTCCAGCAAGTGTTTATAGCTCAATGTAATCCTCCACCGTCCTCGGTAGTGTCGACTTCCTTTTACGGGTCGCGACTCGACCCGATATACAGCTGCGACTGCGACCGCAACCACTTTCCAAATGTATCGGTTCGAGGTACGCCCTAGACCTTGCGCATGGCAAGCTTCTTGCGTGCCTGGATCGTGTAGGCGTAGAGAGCGTCCTTGAAAGCGAAGAGGAAGGCGGCGGTGATGACACTCTGGGTAACCTTGGGTCCGATACCTATGACCGGTTAGCACATGTTCTCTTTTACTTGGAACGATATTCCCCATACCTCCATACAGGCCAGTGTATCCCTCCTCCCTGATGATGCGCCTGAAGGTGGTCAACATGTCTTCCCTGGGCCCGTCCCTGCCCGCAACGTGCATCCTGCTCTTGACAGTAATGTACGGGTAGGTGATGCTGGTGGCCAACAGCTTGCCCAAAGCACCAAGGTAGAAGGCATCCTTGGGCGTGACCCTCCTCCGCTTCTCCAGCATCTGCTTCAGCTGCTCGAAGACGGTGTATTGCAGAATGGGGTTGATGACCAAGACCAACGCCGGCATGACACCAGCGAACAGGCGCGCGGGACCCTCGTCGCGCACGAGGGCGAAGAGCGTGCCAAGCGTCGATGGCGCTTTCTGTGCGGGGGTAGGCGCGCCCGGGAGCGACTCGTCGGAGGCTTCGGATTTGCGCGTCGTCATGCGCGTGTTGACGACCCAGATGGGGTTGGTCATGAGGACGGTTGCGCTGCCGGCAAGGGCGCCTGCCATCATCGACTCGACCGTGGTGAGCTTGGAGGAGGCGCGACCGGCTTTGAGCGCAGCCTTCTCGAAGAAGGAGCGGGTCCATTCGTACCCTGATGCCGTCAGTACTCTGATGTATCGCTTAGACGTGTATTGTCGTACAGTAGTAGTATACGAAGTTTGTGACGCTGATGCCGAAGAGGGCAGAGTCGAGACCGGCGTAGAGGCCGGCGACACCCTCGCGCTTGATAATGCGGCGCGCGGCATTGAGCGTCGAAGACTGCGCGCGCTTAGATTCGACCTGGGCGCGGGTAGAGAGGGTGATGAGTGGGTAGCTGGGGATTGTTAGCAGCCCGCATCTCATCGTCGCGATGGCGCATACGTCAGGGCCATGGACAGCAGTCCTCCACCAGCGCCAGCCAGCGCATGCGCAACATTGTCGCTCTGCTGAGCCGCCGTGCTCTGGGGCACCGAGGAAGTCGACTCAATGAGCTTCTCCTGCGCCTTTTCCTGTGTTTGAGACATGGTCGAGTGCAGAGTCTGGTCGCTCGGGAGTTGAAGAGGGGAAGCGGGCGGTTGTCGCGACGGGAGGAAGAAGCAGCCGGCAAGCCGATGGGATTTGGAAGGTTAGGATAAACAGTGAAGGAGAGGGTATCAAAAGGGAAGCAGCTTCAAGTCTCGTCGGATGGTCTTCGTCTCCGCATTTGAGCTGCGGCTCCGGCTGGCTTGTGAACGTCACCAAGCATTTCCGGGGTAAGACGTACAACCGAGGCAACAACTTCCCCCGATCTAGTCGCATGCGGTAATCCTCTCCAAACTACCAACATGTGCAATCTCCTCGCCTCATGCACTGCACAACAAACATGTAATCATCAGTCTTGATTGGTCGTTGCTACTGGATTATTCTGCAACTACCTCTCGTATATCCTCCTCTCTGCTACCCGAAACGGTACATAGAGCACCGCTGCCAGCACAACTGCTACCTCCAACCCGATGTCGCCCGTAGTCTCCGCGATGGGTCCTGTCCACCAAATCTGTCCCATACACGGGATGATGAGGCCAAAGGAGAGCAGGAACGCGCCAATTGCCGCGAGACCGGGTGGCAGCTTGCTCGGCTCGTCCCACGCCTCTTCATCCTCGGTATAGGCCATGAAGCTGCTGCGTCGGAACAGCACGTGTTCGGTGATGGCGATGCCAATGAAGGCCGCACTCCAGTACCCGATGACACCGATGAAGTTCTCGAGGTTGAGGAAGAAGCTACTGGATGCCTCGACGGCAACGCCAATTACGATGCCAGTAATGACGATGCTGAAGAAGATGCGCGGGATGCGGAAGAGCCAGGGAAGGAGCATCTGCAGGTTTAGTGTTACGCTGTACATCGTTGCCGACAGGTTACCCAACATGCTGAAGGCAAGCACGACTGTGACGAAGCGACCGAACCCGCCAGCTGGCTGAAGCATGGCTGCAAGGACACCACTCGCTGCGTTGACGTCGTACCCAGCCTGCCATGAGGCAATGTTTGGCGTCGCACCTCCCATCGCTGCACCGAGCGTCATCAGCAGGACCGTAGGCAGCGCAAGACCGGTGTAGGTGTAGAGTGCGATCCGGAAGGGAGGAGCCTTGGGATGCATGTACGTCGAGAAGTCGCTCGCAAGTGCAGCCCATGGAAGCATGAAGCTCGCCACGAGACCGCCAAACGAGAGGACCTGTGACGCTGTAGCAGCAGGCGCTGCGACTTGCTGGCTGAGACTCTGACCCCCGCATCCTGCCGCAATGATGAGTGCGGCCAATGCTGGAATCCATGCCCAGCGCTCGTAGTGATGCAATACTCCGAAGCCGCAGAAGGAGATGACCAGCGACAATATGGCGATGATGACGATACCCACCGTGGCGTTGATGGTCGCTCCCTCCTGCACCGCCGACAGTGCCATACCACCAATGACGCTGTCGACAACGCAGAACCCCGTCAGCGTTGCAAGGTTGAGCAATATCAACAGAGAAACAAAGTATTTCCCGAAGGAAAACCTCGCCTGGACCAGCTGTCGCATACCCGTCTTCGGCCCCCACGTACACATGTACGCCACCGGCACCGTCGACACGAGGGTAAAGAAAAGAATAACCAGCGCCGCGTCCCTCAGACTAAGAGCAAAAGACATTGTGCCCACCATGCCAAAAGTCACACTGCATACCCGTTAGCCATCATGCAAGGCCACCACTCCCCAAGTGACCACTTACGGCAACGGATTACAACTCATGCAAAACCAAAGCGTGAAGATCTTTGAATACTGCGTCTCTGTCCTATCCTCATACGGCACAGGCGTACACCCTCTGAGCTCAACATCACCTTTCTTTTCCAGAAAACTCAGCACCCCTCTCCACCCTCCAACTCTTTCGTGCTTGCCCACCGTGACATCGCCATGTTGCTGCTCCACTCCCGCGACTTCCCCAACCGAGAGATTGGGCCGCTTGATGTCTTCCTGTTCCCGCGAAGGAGCCCTAGGAGTACTCCCCACCCTGCTACTGCCTACACCTCCATTCGGGGCGTCTGCCATCTCTTTTCCCGGACCCGTGGTCTCTTGGCTCGCAGCACCGTTTTCGCCGCTCCACCCCGAGATATTGCGCGTGTAAAGTTTGTCAGTCGTGCGTAAGGGACCCGAGATGATGGTACAGACGCCGTTGACGACCCACTCGCTATGTCCGTCTACGGCTTGCAATGCGAAGTAATAGTGTGAAACTGCTCAGTCGTGTGATGCGATAAGGCCCGGCGCGACTATATACCTGAATCATTTGCTCCACCCTGTACAACGTCGTTATGACTCTTTGCTTACCCCATAGTGGCGGGCTTGCGACTATCGCGAACAGAGATTTTTTGCAAACACGACATTTCTGGTTCGCGCATCCTGTGCCCGGCAAGGCTAGACGCGCACCCGTCGGCACCGAGCGCTGCAAAATCGTTTCAATGCACGAATGCACGCATCCCACAACAAAGGGTCCATGACGATCTGGCCCACCTCGCGCGCTGCTAAGCCGACAACCGCATGATAGCCGTCTAATAACCGCGCCTTGACTGTCTGCAGCCGTAGCTTCAGGATGCTACTCCGACCATGACGGAGGTGGATGTGGATGTGCGATGCGTATGCCGTGGTGTGCATGAGGTCTTGTCGGCTGCATGCTTGCTCGCTGCGCAATGGCCTGATTATAGACGCGCTTGCCGACTTCTCGCCGGTCTGCCGGACCTTCCCCACGGTCTTGACCGAGATGGGCGACACTCGTCCAACCACACTGCGTGCGGTGCTTGATACTCCGACGAGGGCGTGTAGCGTCCTCGGGGAGAGTGATGTTAGTTATCATGGGCGTTGAGCGCTGCGGCGTCGCCTTGCATGAGGCTGTCCCTCTTCGCTCATCTCCTTCTGCTGCGCTGACATTTGGAATCTGGTTATGGCTGCCGACGAAGAGAACAAGCGTGAACCCATACCGGTCGACGAGGCTGCTGTTGCACCTGAGCTGCCGGTTGAAGGTGAAGTCGAAGTCCCATATAGCATATACACCAGCAAAGAGAAATGGCTCATAGTAGCTATGGTCGCGTTGGCGGGGTTCTATAGGTACATTCTTTCCTTTCATCTCATCTCGAGACATGTACAACAACAGTAGCTAACATGCATCCAGCCCCCTCCCCGCAAACATCTACTTCCCAGCCATCCCAACCCTCGCCCGCGCCTTCAACCAAACCTCCGAAGCCATCAACCAAACCGTCACCGTGTACCTAGTCTTCCAAGGAATCAGCCCTATGCTATGGGGCCCCATCAGTGACCGCTACGGCCGCCGCCTCGTCTACCTGGTATGTCTGGGCATCCTCGTCGCCTCGTCCATCGGCCTAGCCCTCTGTCCAACCAGCCACTTCTGGCTGCTCCTCTTCCTGCGCTGCTTCCAGTCCGGAGGTAGCGCCAGCACCATCGCCCTTGGCGCAGGCGTCATAGGCGATATATCCACGAGCCGCGAAAGAGGCGGCTACTTTGGCATGTTCAACCTCGGTCCTATGCTCGCTCCGTGTATCGCACCTGCAATCGGAGGCGCACTTTCGCAGGGTCTAGGTTGGCGATCTATCTTCTGGTCCATCGTCATCATGGTGGCTGTTTGCCTGCTGTGTATCGCGCTTTTCCTGCCCGAGACCCTGAGGAGCATCGCGGGTAATGGCAGTATCCCTGTGCCCCGCCTTCAACGCGCTATCCTCCCTATCGTGGGCCAAAAAGCAACGAAAGAAGCTTTCGACCCGGATTCGCGCGCTAAGGCTAAGCACTCTGTTAATCCGTTTGTGCTCTTTACGTACCCTGATGTCATTGTCCTCTTGACTTTTACCGGGCTGGTCTACGCGGTCAATTACACAATCACCGCCACCATTTCTTCGGCTTTTGCAAAGATATACCCGGAGCTGTCGGAGACGGTGCTGGGGCTTTGCTACCTTCCCGTCGGCGCGGGTATGATTCTGGGGTCTACGATGACGGGCAAGATGCTGGATTGGGAGTACAGACGTATCAAAGAGCGGTGTGGTGATAACTTCACCATCGAACACGCCCGGTTACGCATAATGCCCTTCTACCTCTCCCTCTTCATCGTCTGCGTCATTGCCTGGGGTTGGACGATACAGGCCAAGGCTCACATCGCTGTTCCGCTCATTCTTGGCGTTATGCTAGGCTGGACGTCTATCGGTATCCTCAACACTACCATGACACTCAACATCGATATTCTGCAATCTCGCAGCTCAGGCGCAACGGCGTGTACGAATTTGGTGCGCTGCTCGCTGGCTGCTATTCTAGTGTCTATCATCGACCGTATGGAGAGTGCATGGGGTGAAGGCTGGACGTATACGTTTTGGGGTGGCATATGTTGTTTGTTGATGCCGCTTATGTTGCTGGAGATCAAGATGGGGCCGGTGTGGCGGAGGAGGCGTGAAGCCAAGGAATTGGAGGATGAGAAGGCATGATCTGGTTGTTGGCGAGGAATTGAAAGAGATCGAGCAGCGGTTTTTGAGTTGGAGAAAAGCATTATACCCTTTTGTTGAAAGTTAGCATAGCGTTGGATAGTATCGCCGAGAATTGCATTTCGTTGCAGGTTTATCACGTGTTTTCGTTGCCAGTGATAAAGGTGAGTAAAGTGTCTTGTAGTCCCGTGCTAGAGGTGAGTAGCTAGACTAGCAAAGACCTCAGTCCACCATCTTCACACTCTTTCCGCATACCACCATACCACTCCTTTCGATCAAAGTCTCAAGATTCTCATACCTTCCCCCTCCATACCATCCCCATCTAACCCCCCCCTCGTAGGCACAGGTTCCTCGGAAGCCAACGGCTCCTTCGAAACACCATCCTCCACAGCAGCGACACGACCAAACAGTTTGTTGCAGTAATGACCGGAACGACAAGCTGATCCACAAGTACCTGGTGGGCATCCGTAATCGGCTGCCGTCATCTGAGGCTCAATGGAAGCAGAAATTTTGTCAGGAACTCGGCGTGCGTTGACGGCGTTGGTGGCGGTGACGGTAACGACGTAGACTGGGTCAGTCGGTTCAACCTCTTGAAGTGGGTTGGCAGCGTCGGTGTCGGTGACTGTGACGACGTAGACTGGGTTTGTTGGTTCAGCTTCTTGATGGGCGGTGGTAGCGAGGGTGTCAGTGACTGTGACGACGTAGACTGGATCAGTCGGTTCGGCGGTGGTAGCGATAGAATCGGTGACCGTGACCACGTAGACGGGGTCAATTGGTCCAGCTTCTTTAGTGTCCGTGTTCGTCATGACCTCGACTAGATCAGTCGGTCCAGCTTCTTGACGGGCGGTGACACGCTTGACATGGGTGACGGTGACAACGTAAACTGGGTTCCCACTCGCTACAGCCTCTTGACGAGCGTAAATATCTCTGGTAGCCGTAGCCATCGGGGTGCTAGGGACATGACTTGCGAAAGGGCAGTCAGGTCCAACCCAACCCGGAGGACAAGACTTCGTAGGTTTAGGCGGTGAGACGACAATGCTGCAGTCGCTTCCAACATGGCCTGGAGAGCAAGTCGATGTTGGCACCGCCTGCCTGGCAACAAGACGCTGAGATCGACCTCCGAGATCTTCAGACGCGAGTCTAGGCGCATGAGTGGCCCTCGCCTGCCTTGCGACCCACCGCTGAGACCGTCCACCACCATAGTCCGGAGGGAAGATAGTGCTAGTCGCCATGGGCCAGCAAAAGTGTACATCAGGATTATCGTCCCGCGTAAAGGCGGAAGAATGACATCCACACTCATACGAGGTAGAGCAAGTAGGCTTAGACTTATCCGGTCCGCATTGAATATGCGTAGAAATAGCAGTCGCATAGGTCTTAGAGTCCCAAGAGGTGATCTCAGTGCACGTCGCAGTAGTTGGCAAGGCCTGGCGCCGCTGAGCGGTGACAGAGACGCGGGTGGGGCGAACGGAGTCCGAGAAACCTTCAGAGGGCTTAGGGATTTCGGAGTCACCGGAGGTCTTGGTCTTAGAGGGCTTAGGCGGCTTGTGCGTCTTGATGGACTTGGAGGTGTGGACGCTGGCTCGGGTGTGGGATTCGACTACGGTGAGCTGGCGGCGGTGCGCGGTGATGGTGCGGGTGAGCTCAGTGGAGTCGGCGGTCTCCTTGGAGGTGTAGGCGTTGGAGCGGGCTGGTGGAGTGCGTACTGTAGTGCAGTACTTGGGGTTGTTGCATGGCCTTGTTGTCAAGGTTGTCTCGCTGCCTTGGCTCATGGCGAAGCCGATGAAGCCTAGGGCGGTGAGGCAGAGAGTGGTGAACCTCATTTTGGCTGTTTTCGAGTTAGCATCGAGGCAGTGAGATGTGTAGGGACTTTGTGGGCTACCTGAAGTTGATGATGTTGGGGAAAGGGAAGAGAAGTGGGTAGAGAGTGGAGGTTAGAAGGAGAGGAGCAGTAAAAGAGGTTTATATACACCTCTATTGCAATACAGACACGATGGTCCGATGGAGACATTGCCAGGTCGGTACTCACCTCCATTTGTGAGGATCACTTTTGCGGTGATATTGCGGTAAGAGACGTGAGTGGTCTACGCAGATGCGATGGAGCGGGGACGCCGGAGTTCGGGGTGAACCGTTTGCTGAGAGATTAGTGAGTAATCGAGCACGAAACACCTGCGACCTAATAATATGCCCAAGTTACCGTGAGCACACTCATCTCACCGCGTACGATGACAAGACAATGGGTATTAAGTAGATCAAGGTCTGAGTAAATAATTGGAGAGTAGGAGACTGTCCGACCGTGTTCGAGATAATAATAATGCAATACTACTCAGACTCCGAAGTGCGCAACTCTACCTGTATATCCGTGTAATAAATATGCCCCGTCTATATCAAGAAACCCTGTGTGAAGTTCTCCAATGCAGCCCGATACTGCTGACTATACTCTATGATGATCTGCTGCTGGTACCAGCTATGTCGCGCATTGTGGTCGGCGACAAGATTATGCGCAAGCTCGTGACAGTATGTGCAGAACCAACTGTCCAGAGCTGTGAGCTTCCCTTCCTTAGTCTGGCATCCGTCGCTATGGAGGGCGATAAACCAAGCGAGGTTGAAGAACAGACTGCCATTCATGTTGAACGCCACCGTGTTAGACTTCTTGTCGAGGAAGATATTTACCGCCGCAGGGTTGACGCTGAAGATTGATGTGAGGCCAAAGATGAGCGGTAGGAATTTTTGGAGGTGAGATTGCAGGTCGGTGAGCGGCGCCGTCTCGTCGCGGCCGTAGTAGATGTCGACGTGACGGCCAGAGAAAGGCACCGAAAACGCTTTGTGCAGGTTCTCCCATTGTTCGCCGGTACAGTAACCTCCACGGTCGAGTTCCGTCGGGTCCTGGTGATGTTTGGTGTTGATGTTCTCCATACCAGTTGGCCGACATTCCTTGATAGCATTCTGAATGTTCGATTTCGTAGCTTGGATGTCGCGACTGATCTGAGGGCCGTCTGTACCCTTGGAGGAGGAGGAAGGTGCGCTAGGCGCGTTCTTGAAACCGAGCTTCTTCGCCCAGTTGTTGATGAGACCCTGCTCCTCTGGTTGACGGTCGTGATTGGCGATCTCCATGCCACCCTCTGGACTGCCAAATGCACCAGGCATATGCTTGCCTTTCTCGGGGGTCTCAGGTGGAATGTTCTCTCTTTCTTCAGACTTGACGTGACCAGACTTGGCTTGTTCGGCAACTCGCTGCTGTTCCTCTTCTTCGCGCTCTTGCTCGGCTTGCTTGGCGATACGCGCTTCATGCTCTTTCTTTCGCAGGATGCGCTCGACGTTGATACCCTTTTGCTGGAGTCGGCGTAGAGGCTCAGTCAAGATGCGCTCTAGCGCGATGGCGTCGTTGCGCTTCGGCCGCGATACAAGTAACCTTACCAGTTCGCTTGACACCTCGTAGAGATCGTATTTCGGCGTGATGCTAAGCACGTATCCCGTACCACGCACCTTGATGATGACAGCCGATTTACGTGAGGATGTTGCGACATTGCGTTCCGCTAGTGAATAACGGATGGAGATATCCGACACACATTGCACCGTCAGATTAGAACCCAGCCACTTGGCGTCATGTCTGATAGCCTTTGAAGAAGCATCGCGTTCATACTCGTGAAGGAAGAGACGTACACGCTCCAGGATGTCTCGTCGAAGATCTTGAGCAGGTGTCTGGTCGCGCGCTACTGTGCCGATGCGTTGGTCAGTCTTGACCAGCTCCGAGACTTTCTGGACACCGAAACGAGCGTAGAACTCCTCGAGAAGCTCTTCCTGTGGGGCTGCGATGATGAAGTCGCGGAACCGGGTCATATAGTTGACGTTATCGATAATCACGATCTCGCCAGCTTTATTGAGCGACCACTCGCGATGGACGTTGTCCTCATCAAGATCATCAATGTCGTCTTCGCCTGCATCGGCGACGTTCTTGCTATCCTCTTTGATATCGCGGTAGCCAAGAAGCAACCTCGATGCTATAAGTGATTTGACCAAATCCTTATCTTTCCACAGATTCGGAGCATGTTCGGCCAGCTTTCTCAGCAAATCGAGATATTTCTCTTGCCCAATGGTGTTGAGGAACCGAGCAGGGTTCTTTGCGAGGAGGTACGCCAGATCATGAGTAGTCGGCTCATGCTTTGCGCCAACCTTGAGAAGAAAGACTGTAGCTTCCGCGCCATAGTGAACGTAATCGAGGATGCCACGGTACTCCTGATCACGACCCACGAAAACATGCTCGGGTGGATCGTAGTGATGGATGCGCATCTCGGTCTTGCCAGTTTGATTCTTGGATCTATCTTCGAATCCGCTGCAAGCGGGGTCGAGGTAGTACTTCCGAAAGATTGGTACGATGTTGGAAGTCGCGAGGTTCTGTATGAGTCCTTTGTATTGATCCAACTCGGATCCGCGCGAAGCAAGATAGGCAAACTGCATTTCTGCATCAAGCTTAGTCTTGGGTGGAGTCTTCATCAGGTATTGAACACATGGGCCTATGCTCGGATCACGCTGAACCCCCAGCTTCTCGGCATGACTCCGAAGATCGCTTCTTAGGATGGGAAATCCTAGACATGCTGCGTGCTCATTGATGTAGCACTGGAACGGACCAACCAACGCCGGGAACGGAGCCTGTTCTGTCGGCAAAATCGGGAGGGTGAGAGCAGCGAATTTCTGGTGCTCCACAGCGTAATTGTTCTTGTAGTAGTTCGTTAACAGGTAGTCCATCGCACGCATGTACAGCTGGAGATCCTTGGCTTGACCGGCGCGATGGAGTATGTTTGCAACGGTGATGGAATCTGGGCACTGTCGTAGTCCGAGACGCAGCAGCAATACGCCCTCTCGTGTAGTGGGCTTGAATTCGAAAGGCAGCTTGATCTGAGTCAGGCCTAGAGCTACAATGGCCGGGTCGGGGGCATAAAGGTCTGAAGCCTTGAACTGCTCGCCAGGTTTTACTAGCGTACCATCTCCTGGCAAGAACGCTGTCTGCTGTAGTCGACTAAGATCCTTCGCAGGTATCTCGTTGATAACCGACGCGAAGTAGCGAATAAGGTCAACGTGATTCCAGGTCGGCTTTTCGGATTTCTCCGACTGCTGCGCGTCGCGACTTCGCATTCGATCAAACACCATAGGAAGATCGATGGTCTTCCGAACACCGAGCGCCAATAGGAACTTCTCCTTCGAACCCGCAAACGGCGTCACAGTTGGCAGATCATCAAACAGCTTAACAGTAGGGAAGTACGACTCCGCCGGTCGCCGCATGCCCATCTTCGTCGGCAAGATCGTGTGTGGGGTCAAAATCTTGACAACAGTCTCCTTGGAATTTCCATCAAGCTGTTCCCAGCACTTGGATGTCAGTGTTAGCACAGAGAGAGCAAGGTTCTCATCCTTAGTAAACTCGTCTAGCTGCGGGCGTGTTGTCATGTGTCGAAGCCAGCGAACCATTGACAATTCCACCCAGCCGAAGAGTTGCAGTTGTTTGATCGACATGCCTCTAGTGAAGGAGAAAGGAATAGTGTCTGGCGGAAGAGGTAGATGTGCACCGATACGCGCTGGGTTAACAAACGTGCTAATATCGCCCAATGCCAGTATCCTGCCAGAGTTCTTTTCTGGCTCAATGTCGATATTAGCGACTGTATTTTCGAACAAGCTACGAGAGCCGGGCACATCGATTTCGCCGCTTTCCAGCTTAGATCCACACCACTTGAGAAATTCGGAGAGTTCATCCTCGCTGAGTGCTCGTGACTCTAACCCTTGACGAATATCCTGCATTGTGAGCTCTGTGATGAAACCGCGATTGTGTAAATTGAGCATGAAGTCGACTGCTGCATTCGCGAGTTCTTGTGGGACCATGGGTACTTCTCCCAGGAAACTTAGAGTTTCTGCAGGCATACGCACACGCTTACTGGACATGACGCCCTTGGTCGAAAGGATGTCGATGGATCGTTCCTTCGAACAATTCCAGAACGCCTCGTCGATCTTATCTCCAAGGGATGTAGAAGGGTGCGATGATTTGGCCGTGTATTGTTTGAACACGTAAGCAGTCTTCGTGATCAAGGTCTCGATGGGTTCCTTGCCGAATTGGGTCTGCAAAGCTGCCAATTCTGCTGCGTAGGTGATGCGACAGGCCAGTCCTGCAACACGCAGGAGCTCAGTATTCCAGGTGGAGATGTAGCGAGCGTTCATGTCGACATTCTCGCGCTCAACCGTCGGGATAAGAGATGGCGCAGAGATGTGCGCGAGGTAGCCAGTCGTCTGGGCAGTCGGAAATCCGATAAAGATTCGACCAGATTTTGTCGGAAGGACTTCTGCAAAGATCTTGTCGGCAAGCGCAGCTGAACTGCCAGAGCCCGTAGCCAGCGTGGCTGACGGATCTTGGTATGGACAAGTCAAAAGAGCGATTTTGGTCGTCTTCGGAGGTGACTTCTTAGTTGCGCGCTCAATCTCCGCAGCGAAGTTTCGTGAGACTTTAGTGGCTGCCACCACAGTGCATACTTGCAAGAAGATGGTGCCAGTCGAATCGCCTGCTATCGCTTCAATAGTATTGGTCTTCTCAGCCGCGGGTTTGATGTTCTTCGTGGGCGGCGGAGGAGGCGCAGATGCGAATTTTGAGAAGAAACTCCGTAATGAAGTACCTGCGTTGCGAACTTCTTGTTGTACGAGGTCGGCAGCTTTCTTTGGGGGTATCTGAGCAGTAGCAATGACGTTCATCCAGGCCGCATCGATTTGAGAGTGTTGTTGCGTGACATCAGTCACCCGCATCAAGCCGCCTTCGGTCTCAGTCTTCAGTCCGTTCGGCACACGG